TGCATACTGCAAGCAAGAAGCAATGCACCCCAAACACCAGCATGAGGCTGCATTGGCATGCTCTTAATCAACTCGTGGGCTTCTTCTAATCGTCCAGCTCGACCCAAAAGGTCAACCACGATAGCATAATGATCGACTGATGCAATGAGTCCATACTTTTTCATGGACGTAAAGCAGTGATAGCCTTCTTCAACCAAACCTACGTGATTATAGGCAGTTAATATTCCCGTGAAAGTAACCAAGTTTGGGTTGATCTCAGAATCCATCATCTCCTCGAACAGCTTGATGGCATCCTCTGCCATGCCATTGATACCACATCCCAAAATCATTGCAGTATAAGCAACTAAATCCTTCTTTCGCAGGCCATGAAACAGCTTATAAGCTTTATCAATGCTTCCACATTTCACATACAGGTCCATGAAAGAGGTAGCCAAATGATCATCCATTACGATTCCCATTTTCTTCCTTAATGACTCGATCCAAGTCCCGAATTTTAAATCTCCCAGCTGGGAGCAAGCAGAAATAGCGCTAGCCAATGTCATTTTGTCTGGCTGAATATTGACATCTGGCTTAAGCATTTCATTGAAAAGCTGAAGGGCCTCTTTTGCCCTGCTATTCTGTGCATAACACGCTATCATGGCGTTGTACAAAAACTGATCTTTCTCTCCCATCTGACCAAATAGCTCTTCTGCAGGCTCTACACGCCCACATTTTGAGTACCCGGAAATCATTGTGATATAAGAAACGTTGTTCTTCTGGGGCATCGCATCAAAAAAGCTGCGTGCTAATTCTATCTTCCCGCAATCTATGTACCCACAGATCATAGCATTCCAGGAAGCAGAATTCCTCTCTGGCATCTGTCGAAACAATGCATATCCCTGCTCCATGTTCCTGGTCATCGCATAACCAGAAACCATTGAATTCCAAGATATCACATCCTTCTCCGGCATTTCGTCAAACACGCTCTGAGCCATTGCTAAATCTCCCGATTTCACATACCCCGCTAACATTGAATTCCAAGAGACAACATTCTTCCCATGAATTTCATCAAACACCCGACGTGCAGTGTCCATATGACCCATTTTCGAATAGAAGTCCACAAGAGCTGTCTGAACATAAACAACGTTACATAAACCGAACTTGTGTGCTTGACCATGAATCATAACTCCTACATTACATAAAATCCTAGCACAAGCCTTCAGTGCGGATGATATAGCAAACGTGTTCGGAAAAAGTCCTGAACTATGTAAATGCAAATACATAGCAACAGCTTCTTGAAATTGACCATGTTGAGAAAGAAACCGAATGGTGCATGCCATGGAAAAAACATCCGGGTTTTGCATACGATGGATTATTAATTTTACATATTCAGTCGTCTTTCGTGAATAATGGTTTGCAGAGACAAGAATTCGACCA